TCTTTTCTGATGTGTTCACTGAGCACTGGATCCTTCCTCACAAGTTTACCAAAATGATTTGATTGCCCTTTTTTCCTCCGCTGAATTATGTCTTTGGTTCTTTGATATTACCATTTAAAATCTCCATGCATTTATCAATTTACTATATTTTATATTACTTCATTGTCATTTCAGCATGCTTGGGAAATAGGAGAAATATGTACGTTTGGGTGCCATAGTGAACTGAAAACAATATTATGCCTTGTATATTTTTGTATCACGGTATTCCCCCCACCCCACTCCCATATGCATTTTGAAAAAAATAATTATCACCTAGGTATTCTTCTAGCTGAATTTTATAGTCATTTTGTCACCAACTTTATTTATTTATTTGTTTATTTATTTTTAATTTTATTTTTTTTAATTAGTTGGAGGCTAATTGCTTTACAATATTGTAGTGGGTTTTGTCATACATTGACATGAATCAGCCATGGATTTACATGTGTTCCCCATCCCGATCCCCCCTCCCACCTCCCTCTCCGCCCGATCCCTCTGGGTCATCCCAGTGCACCAGGTCCGAGCACTTGTCTCATGCATCCCACCTGGGCTGGTGATCTGTTTCACCCTAGATAATATACATGTTTCGTTGCTGTTCTCTTGAAACATCCCACCCTCGCCTTCTCCCACAGAGTCCAAAAGTCTGTTCTATACATCTGTGTCACCAACTTTAAATGCCATTTAATTGATAAGATGTTCATTGTATGAACACTTGGCGGTACTTTATGCTGTTTACATGTCTGTCTCCCTGCTAGACCATGTTCTTCCTTAGAACCTAGACTATGCCTTTTTTAATCAAAATTGCATTGGGCAGAAGTATATTACAAATTTGATCCTGTTTTCTCATTCTAAAAATCCTGAAATGGCTCCTCATTGCCTCTGAAAACTAGACTCCTTAGCATTACCTCTGACTGCCTCCCAGCTTTGTCACTACATGCTGCCTCCTGTTGCTTTGATTATACTAAACTATTTATAGCTCTTCAAATTTGCGATTTGTCTTCCATACACACACACATATACACACAGGCAGTTTGTGCATACAGAGATGAGGCACCCTCCTTTACCCCCATATTCATATATAGCTTTATGGATGCTCTGTCCTTTTCTGGTTAAACTCGAATGTCACTCAGTTAAGGTCTTATTATATTAGCTTCTATGAAGCCTGTGTTCTTTACCCTTCTGAATGCCTTAGACCATGTTCTTAAGTGCACGGACTCTCTCTCATCTCTGTAAGCCCAGTATCAGATAATTACTCATGATGATGCCTCTGTATCATGAAATAAAAGTTAAATTGCTGCTTTTGAGATAGGAGATAATATAGGATAGTGATTATTGCTCTAACAAAATATCCACTCAGAAAAATAATTTCAGTGTTTATTGGATTAGCTAAGAGACTTACTTAACATACCCTTTATATTATGGTGGTATATTTCTGAGAATTAAAGCTATGCTAGTTTTTGAGCAGGTGTTTTCAGAGATAGACTTCATTTGGAATGCTTTTATGCTAAAGTAATGTTCAGTGATTGGCCTCTTGAGAGAAGAAAAGTAAGTAAAAATCTATACCTTTTTTTTTTCATGAACGGTAAAATCAGGTGGTGATTAAGATGAGCAAGCTCATAAAAGGGATTATCTCTGTGAATCACGTCTGTGTTGCAATGTTTTAATACAGAATCACTGGGAATTATGGCCTTTTGTCTTTTTTCTATGTATTCCCTGAAATCTTAATCTTTCCAGTTGTATTTATATTCCAACAAGTAATTACTGAGGCAGATAGGATTATGACTTGTAGCAGACAATAAACAGCCTGAGCAGATGGCCTTTTACAGGACACGTCTTGTTTCAGCATGAGCATCCTGAAAATATTTCTAAGGCAGTAGGAACATTTTGATCTTCTAAGAAGATTGCTCTTTGCTTCTTTTGAAGTGTTTGTAATTGTTAAACCTTAATAGAATATTTCAGTAAATGTAATCAACTACAGCAATTCCATTATAGAGAATTTTATTAAATACCTCTTTTTAAAAAGCTCGGATATGATGTATAAGCATCCTTTTTAACTTTTGTGTGAAATATACATATTAAAAAGTACATAGCACATAAATTATGTGGTAACATAAGTACAAATAAGTAACAAGAAAGAGAATATTTCCAGCACTTTAGATTTCCTCCCGTCTCCATCTGTCCTTTCTCAGTGAGATGCTCTCCCTGCTTCATTGAGGTAATGACCATCCTGGCTTTTGTAGTAATCACTTCCTTAATATTGCTTTATATTTCACTTTAATCATTTATTGCATTATTTTGGTCTAGCTTGTTTTGTTCAACATTATTTTTAGTGTTCATTCATGTTTATTGTTACATAGAATGGCATTGATTAGTATATCCCAATTTATCTTTTCTATTCTTGACGGGAATTTTTGTGTTTTCCAGTTTAGGTCTATTTAGAACGATTTTGTTATGAACTTTTTTGTCCATGTGCCTGGTACACATCTGGGGTATATATTTACAAAATATTTCAGACTTTAGGGAATATATATCTTCAGATTTTCTCGGTATTGCCAGACTGCTTTCCAAAGTGGTAATACCAATTTATACGTCTACCAATAGTATATAACTGTTCGGGTTGGTGTTGCCTACCATTAAGAATTTTTTCCAGTTGGTTGTATAGCAGTGTCTCATTGAAATTTAAATTTGCATTTCTGTGATTGTCAATGTGACTGAGCACTTTTTCCTGTGATTATTGGCATTTGGATTTCCTATTCTGTGAAATACATGTTTATGTCTTTTGTTCACGTTTCCATTGAGTTGGGCCTTTCTCTTATTTATTTGTAGACAGTCTTTATTCTGTGTGTGTGTTCGAAATGTTTGTAAGGTTAATGTGATGACAAAATTCTTCTATCTTGCTTTTTTACTCTCTTCAAGTATCTTTTGATGTACTGAAATTCTCAGTTTTCATGTATCATCATCATTGTTTATGGTTACCACTATATGTGAATTGGGTAAAAATCCTTATGGAAGTGTTTTCCTATATTCTTGAATAAAATTTTATAGTCTTTTTTAATATTTAGATTTGTAATCTACTTGGCATTGTTTTTGTATATGGTATGAGGTAATAGTCCAGCTTTTTAAAACTTAGTAGCAGCAGTAGTAGTATTAACCTGTTTAAAAATGACCTAGTTGTTCCAAAGACCATTTTTTCCCCTCTACTTTGTTCTGTCATCTTTGTCAGGAATCAAGCATCCATATATGAGGCCAGTATAACCTGTATACCAGAACTCTACTAAGGCAGAACAGAAACTTCCAGGTCAATCGTTTATGAACATACGTGCGGAACATCCTATTCAAACTATTAGAAAACTTGAGTGAGCAGTGTGTGCTGAGTTGCTCAGCTGTGTCTGACTCTTGCAGCCCCCTTGGACTGTAGCCTACCAGGCTCCTCTGTCCATGGACTTCTCCAGGCAAGGATACTGGAGTGGGTTGCCTTGCCCTTCTCCAGGGGCTCTTCCCTGCCCCAGTCTCCTACATTGCAAGCGGATTCTTTACCTTCTGAGCTATCGGGAAAGCCTATTGAGCAATATATTGGAAGGTGAAGTTTATCCAAGGAATACAAGTTTGGTTAAATTTGAGAAAATTAACCAGAAAAATTCATTAATGTATCTCAGGAAAGAAAGTTTGATAAAATTCCATATCCTTTCGGTCTATATTATTGAACTCTTAGCAAACTAGAATTAGAATGTTATATCATAACATGATACAGTGTATCTCCAGAAACAAAAACTACAGCCCACAACTTGATGAAGTTTTGAAAGTTTTAAGTTCAGGAACAGGACAGGGACACTTGCCATCATCTTTTCTATTCAACATTGTAGAGGAGATCCTGGACAGTGGAACAAGGCAATGAAAGTTACAAGAATTAGAAATGAAGGATCAAGACTTTTCATGTTCCCTAGTAATATGTTTATGAATATAGATATCAGAAATAAACTATTAAGTAAGTTACAGCAGTAGAAGTATTAAGGTGCTTAATATTTTATTATGTATTTTTAAATGTGATACATATTTTTTAAATTTGACATGATTTACAGTGCTGTATTAGTTCCTGGTCTACAGCAAAGTGAACCAGTTATATATATATTCTTTTCTATTATGGTTTATTATAAGATATTGAATCTAGTTCTCTGTGCTATTCAGTAGGACCTTGTTTGTATCTATTTTATATGTAGCAGTTTGTATCTGCTAATCCCAAACTCCTGCCCTTTCTTATGCTAATCTTATGACCAAGCATATAAAAGTATCTAATGAATGCTATTGGACAAAGTTAAATAATTTATGATTGGAGGAAAGTTTCAAGTTTATGTAACATGTAATATATTGTTATTCATGATAATACCTTGCTGTTATATAGTGCTTGAGGATGTGCACATAGCTTTCACAAATATCTCATCCTCATAATAGACTGTTAATAGAAGTGTTAATAGTTTGGGAAGATACCTATTTCTCTTTTACACAGGATTTCAGGCTCAGTGAGATGTTACATAATTTGTAGAAAATCACTTAGCTGACAAGTGCTAGAGTACCTGGAATTCAGCGTAAAGCTTCTGGCCCTAACTCTCTCTGCTATGGCAAACTATTTCCCTTTAAAATATACTTTTGTTGTCTGGTCTGTTTCCACCTCTCCCTTTAAAAAAATATTTGTTTTTTTTTAACTTTATTGACATGCATTCTTAATAGCATTTGAGTTTCTTTTCATGCTGTACTTTTAAACACTGGTTCAGCTGTATTGTGTTATTAACCACAAACATTCTTGGGGATTTATGAAGTTACCAAAGAGTGATTATAATGCCAGGAAATAAAACTTTGAAAAAACATACTTTGAGTTCTATAAAGTAATAAGAACAGTAGCCAAGAATTCTTGTAGTTTGACTAGTTTTCAGAATTTGTTTTAATTTGTCCATTATGGCATTTTTCAGATTAAATAAACTTGAAGATACTATTACACTAATAAAAGGAAAAATTGAAGAAGTTCGTCTTCCTGTAGAAAAAGTGGATGTTATTATATCCGAGTGGATGGTAAGTGTTTGCACACAAAACTACTATTAATTTTTTTTAAAGGCAATGAATAAAGTAGCAAGTGTTCTGCATTTTATTATATTTGATAAATGGCAGAATGGTGGCATTATTTTAAAAATAGCTACAGTCTTTTTATGGTGGTTTATTCTGCAGTGGCACTTATTTACTGGCAATTTGTAGTCTTTAAGAAGCGAATAAATTATCTTTTTAAATTTTTAAGTCATAATACTACTTTCTAGATTTGTTGAGACCTAACTATGTTTGCCTAAAAGTCTACAAGGATTCTTCAAGGATTTATTAAGACTGTTCATGTCAAAATAATGGGGTGTTTCTACTGTTGTTGTCATATAGAATAGCCTATCTTTCTGATTTCTTTGGTCATGTGTCCTATACCACGTAAAGTGAAGGTGAAGTCGCTCAGTCGTGTCCGACTCCTAGTGACCCCATGGACTGCAGCCGACCAGGCTCCTCCGTCCATGGGATTTTTCCAGGCAAGAGTACTGGAGTGGGTTGCCATTGCCTTCTCCGTGAGTTACTGAAGTGAAGTCGCTCAGTTTTGTCTGACTTTTTGCGACCCCTTGGACTGTAGCCCACCAGGCTCCTCCGTCCATGGGATTCTTCAGGCAAGAATACTGGAGTGGGTTGCCATTTCCTTTTCCACCTATACCACATAAAATAGTATTTATTGGCATTATTAAAATAATGAAATAAATGTATATTATTATATAACTTTATAATTTGCTTTTAAAACCATAAATCAAGGCCAAAGTATTTAAAGTGTCTGTAAAGTAAAATTAATGGTATTTGTCAACTGATTTGACCTGTTGATATGCCACTTCTATTAAGACAAGTATATAGTAGTTCTGCATAACCATTTGGAAAGTGTTAAGGTTTTTTTTTTTAAAGAAACTGTATTTGATACCTGTATTTTAATTAAGTGAATTTATCAAAGCTTCTTGAAAAGAATGAATTTTGCTTTATAATTCTCTATAAATTTTGAATAACAATTCTAGCAAAATAGCTAGAATTAGGGCGCTTTTGAATGTTCAGATGTAATGTTGTCATTTCAGTTTAGAGCCTGTGACAGTCACTGTTGTTGACAGTTACTCTTTTGCATCTGAAACAGTATGTTGAGTTTTTTCATGCTAAGGTTGGCTTCTAACAATTCTTGATCACAATACCCTTGTTCTTTAACCAAGTAATGTGTATCCATACTCTGATTTCCCTTAAAAATTGAGTGAGGAGGAATGAATTTAGTTATACATAACTGAAAATCTAACATCTCTTTAAAGATTACGAAAAGGTGCTTTGGAGAAAGTGCATTTGAGGCATCTGCTTGACAGCAACTTTAAGTAGTTTGTACTAAGTGTTGCCTAATGTAGTGCTTATTTCTCTAAGGATCATTTTATTTTTGGGGGGAAATGCATCTTTTAAATTACCCCAAATTACACTGTAAGCAAAATAAAAGATAGACCTTACTAAAACTTCCTGTCACTTCAGTTAACCAGGTGATAGTTCTTGACCAGGCTAGCAGAAGTATCCTTCTGGATATTGATGTTTCAGGAACTTTCATTTTGAAACTTGAAACACTGTCTAGAAGTATTAATTGTCATTCAGTCACTCAGTCATGTCTGACTCTTTGCAACCCCGTGGACTGCAGCACACCAGACTTCCCTGTCCTTCACTGTCTGCAGGAGTTTGCTCAAACTCATGCACACTGAGTTGGTGATACCATCCAACCATCTTGTCCTCTGTTATCCCCTTTTCCACCTGCCCTCAGTCTTTCTCAGCGTCAGAGCCTTTCCCAGTGGGTCTGCTCTTCGCATCAGGTGACCAAAGTATATGAGTTTCAGCTTCATCATCAGTCCTTCCAGTGAATATTCGGGACTGATTTCCTTTAGGTTGGACTGGTTTGATCTCCTTGCAGGCCAAGGCACTCTCAAGAGAAGTATTAATATGAAATTGAAATCTTAGAGCCAGTTGGTATAATAACAAAAACCTAGCTAGGTTGAGTGAATTTATGAGATTATCACAATTATGTTTTGTCCTACCTCCCTTCGAAGACAATGGGCTGCTTTTCTGGGCGCCTGATGTCCTCTGCTAGCGATCAGAAGTTGTTTTGTGCAATTTGCTCAGCATTCAAATGGTCTTTCGATGAATTTGTAGGAGAGAAAGTGGTCTCCCTGTCCTATTCCTCCGCCATCTTGGCTCCTTCACTGAGATTATCACAATTATGATGGAAACTTTATTGAAAGGTGTGCTGATCTTGGGCTTGTTTTCCCTAAGATTCATTTTATACCCTTCTTCTGTTTTCTGCTGTATGATGGAGAAGGGCTAACACTGCAGGTGGCTTTTTCTCGGCTCCTGTGACAGCCAACTTCAGTTGGGCTTGAGGAATCTAATGGGAAACACTAATGGGAGATTTACGAAAGGAGAAGCCAGGGCATTTTCTTTTCTTTTCTTTTTTTTTTTTGACCTCTGCTGGTGTTCCTGGCAGAAATTGTTTCTTTTGTGGCTCCAATTCCTACCTGACAAACCTCTCATAATTCCAGCATCCACTGTGTGACCCTGACCCTGGGCTCTTGTTGCGGTACTTTTTTATCTTGGGGGTTTGGTCAAGAATGATCTCTGCCTCTATCAAGAAGTCAGTGTCATGTAAGCAGTACTGAGTCACTGGAACCTGAGATGAAAAGGGTACATTCTTTGCAACTGAGATGCTTTCAGAAACCCTTCAGAAAGGGGAAAAAACGCATGTGTCCAGCATGTGATGGCTAAGAAATTTCTTCTTCTCTGCACAAAGGTGTAATTTGAGAGTTTGCATTATCTTGCTGTCAGCCTTTCCTTGTATACATCAGTGAGGTTGGTGTCTAGTAGGTCTGTTACATGTCAGAGGGAGCATTAGACACTGTAACTTACAGGTGATAGAGTCATCTTTGTGGCTTGGCAATATCGTTTATAATATATTCTAGATCCTCTCCCAACTTTGGTACATATACTAGAATTTGTGAGCCTGAATGCTGGAAAATTCTAATTACGTAATTAAACAAGAAGCAAGTATGCCTCCTAAAATACATCCAACGTTTTTTCAGATATTCCTACTTAAACCCAAGTTGTTTAAACAATGATTTTTAAAGCCACGTTTTCTTGAACCAGCATTTTAGAATTAAAATGTCTTGCATAGTATCCTGACTTTGGAAGTTTCTTTTCTTTTTTCCTTTTTACATATAGCAGTAGAGATGCAAAAATTAGAATAAAATTTAAACAATGGCATAGTTTTTTTTTTTCTTTTAAAAGTATTTTGAACAAGAAAGAACCAAAAAAAAAAAAAGAATGTACCTTGAAGAATTGGACACAGATGTTTAATGAACTTGTAATCCAATATAGCAATGTAGGCATCATATATTGTAGAGATGTACATCTGTTTTCTTCAACTGTGGTCCACTAACTCTTTCATGGCTTAATTTAGATATGTTTTTTGTCTGCAGCTGTTCATGAGCTTTGCTTTTATTTTGCAAGATGTTCTCAGATAAGAATGTGTTTTTCAAACCCAAATCATTGTTGTTAGCATGTCATTTAATAAACTTGCCCCTTAGATTTACAAATTTTCATATTTAGGCCTCTCTCTAATTTTACATTTTCATTTTTATTGAATGAAACTTCTATTTGATAAAATTGTTATCAGTTAAATAGAAAGTTTAATTTCTATAGTATGTTACTATGTATGCCTATGAATATCTGTTCTCATATTTTACATTTTACTGTACCAATAGAGCCATTCTTTATGACCTCTCATTTCTGATGGCCTAATAATACTGTTCAAAGTAAGCATCCCTGATTCTTGTCCTATGAGCCAGTAAGCCCAGATAGACTGATTTGATGTTGCTGTTTGCCATCTAAGTTTTCAGCATGATCTTCTTACAAATATTTACATAGATAAGATCCTGGCACTGCATAATACAGTTGCCAGAGATGAATCTTGTTTGGACATGTTATTTTCTGTCGTCAGGACCATCAGCAAAATTATACATTAGGTGAACTTTAAGTTACATTGTCATGATCACATACTATAAGCATTCAAATTGTCCTTTGTAATTTTTCTGTCTAGGCTTGCTTTTCACAGAGTGACTTAAAATTTGCTCAACTTTCCCATCCCATTTCACCAGCCCAGGTGTCTGTGTAATGTGCATGCATGTACCGCCCACACCCACAATGATGGGATATCTTTCGTTTACATTTAATACTCTTTGTTGTTGGTAAATAACTTTTCAGGATTTTATCACTTTAGACTTTATCACTTAGAAACATGACGTGTCATTTGGTTTATCAACACTATAGAATCTGGGCTGTGAAGCATGTCATAGGTTACATTGTCAACTGTTGAAATGTTCTTGTTATTTTTAGTTTGGTCTAGCAGCGAAGCCATGCCGTGTCAGCCAACTGCCATGAAGATTAGGTGGCCTTTCCTGATTTCTCTTCTTAGCTTAAATGATGTAATAATAATTATGTAAGTAGTTTAGTAAGTTAGATGAGCTAAATTAATCTTAGTGTTAAGGAAAGTATAGGAGATTGATTTGCAACACAAATTTTTAATCGTACAGGTACATTTTTGCCTTTCTAGTCCGTGATTAGAAATATGCTTATGACCTGAATTTAAGGATTTTTTTAGTCTTATTTTTTTTCTCTTTTATGTATATTACTCTGAAAATTTTAAGCAAAATAAAATTGTCTGTGTCTAGTATGTATTTTGTTTACTTAAAAGTAGACACAATCTATTGTCCAGTGGTTCAAGATAAGGAAATGCAAGATGTGACTTTCAACTCTATATTCTCTGGTCAGTCTTTTCTCCTATTTTTCTTATTTTTTTGTTGTTCCATCAGAGAAAAAGTCATCGTATTATTGCCCAACTTCTGGTATTTTAAAAAATCAATCAATATGATAATTAAGAAAGCAAATGCTTGCTTAATCACCTCGGTCGTGTCTGACTCTGTGCAACCCTATGG